GGGGTTTGTGGGGGGGGTCTCTGCCGTCTCCGGGCTCAGCGGCGCAGCTCCCCCAGGAGGGCTCTCCCTCTGGTGGGTTACTTGGGGACCCGCCGGAGCTCGCACATGAGCCAGAGTGCCGTGCTGAGCAGCGCCAGGGAGCCCGACTGGTGCGTGGCGGCCAGAGGCGTGGGGACGTACAGCAGCAGGGTGCTGATGCCCAGGCCCACCTGCCAAGAAGGGAGAAGGGGTGAGAGCGGCTGTGGGTGCAGCGTTGATACACATCCCCAGCACAGAGCATGGTGTAGAAAGGCCCATGGCCACAGCCAGGCTTCCCACCCTCAAATTCAGACTGTGAATGCAGTACGGTGAGGCCCCCAGTCTAGACAGCTTTGCCTCAGCTCCAGGCTCTTGAGGCCAGCACAGACCCAAGGTGGGGACAGCTCTGTCTTGTGGGGACAGCTCTGTCTTGTGAACTGGCTACAAAACACTAAAGAAAAAAAAAAAAGAAAGAAAAGAAAAAGAGACAGTACCTGCATATAAGCCACAGCCAGTAAGGAAGTCACTGCCATCCTGGTCCTGCGAGGAAGTGGGATCTTCCGCGAGAAGAGGTACAGTGCTGTGACAGCTGTGACAGAGGTGACTCCCTACAGAAGGGGAGAGAAACAGCCACCCTCCCAGAAATGTTCAAAGGAAATGGCTGCCGTGGCCTGTGGCTGCACCTTCCATGCAGTAAAAGAAATTCTGTGAGCAACATGTAACTGTAGAAACGTGTTAGTAGCCACGACCAAATCCCAGAGCTCCCATGCCCGCCAGGTTAACAACTCTGAAATTTAACTACAGTTACAGGGTTTTTGATTTTTCTCCACATTAACACCTTACTTTCCAGCAGCTTTTCTGCATTTTTCAAGTCATTAGGGATTGTTTTTGCCCTTTCCCCATCTGTCACCTTGACAACTAAAGGTGGAAGCTGTTATCTGGAAAACTGATCTCATTTTCACCACTTGGCTGTAGTTCACCAGCATAATCCTGCTGTACAGGTCACCCCAGGTGATTCCTCTTCCAAGTCACTTGATCCTTCTTTCTAGTCTTAGCAATGGCTTAGTCCACCGCAGTGCTGGCAGTGGTATTTAATATCTGGATTGCTCTAATAGCATGAGACATTTTCGCAGGGCACTACTGGTGTAAAGCAAGTTCAGAAATGCTGGAGGAAGCATTCAGTATTGTGATTTTCCAGTTTTATTTCACACAACCTTCCCAGACATTTCAATAGCGAAAGCTACCCTGGTCTGTAACTCGTGTAATGGAAAAAGGAAACACAAAGAAACAAAGTCTGTAACTTGCACAGGAGGAAGACGTCCTTAAGGGAGGAGACCACATTGAAAGTAAGTAAGAGGGCTAAGCTTCCTCCTTCTGCAGAAGCAAACTGGTAACACGCTCTCAGGACCTTCAGACACCCTGATATCACTCAAGCTGACAGAACCGCAGCCCAAAGAGGACAGCTTGGCTGCAGGAGACAACCGAGAAGCAGCACTGACATAGCAGGAAGATGGCACTTACCAAGATCCTGTGATCAAACTGTACAGTTGTAGGATTCTCAAAAATATTTCTCAGCACAGGGGAGAAGGCAAAGAGATCATCTGGGATCCAGCGCTCCCCCATTTTGGGGAAGGAATTGTACACAAGGCCAGCATCCAGCCCTGCCACAAAGGCACCTGCAATTCCAGAGCAGAAAATGAGACAACCAGGGCAGGCAAAAGCTGCTCTCCAGGTCACACAGCTGTGACTTGAGAGCTCAGCTTGATCCTGAATTTCTTTGAGAGTGATATACAGCGACCACACAGCAACAGGCAGGCTGGAAGGAGCATCTCCACCTGCCCAGGAAAGACCAGTAAGGGAGGTTCTCGACTGTATCTCACTGACAGTGATAAAGCTTTCCCAGAGGATGCGATGGGGTTGCTCACAGTCCCCGCCAGACCAGAAAAAAAAAAAAACAAACAAGAGAGAGAAACGAGCTGCAGATGGGACAGCAGAAAGAAACAGTCTTACCTGAAAGAGCAGTAAGAAAAATGAGAGCTGTAGTGCCATGAGCAAATTGTCTCAAGCGAAGGAGCTGATGGGTTTCAGGTAACTGCAAAATACAAAAAAAAAAAAAAAAAAAAGGGACAATAATCAAGGCAAAGCATTTCCAGTGCTGTTTGCAGCAGGTAAGAAAGGTCTTTACTGCATATATAGGCCAAGGGGTTGGCCTGTATTTTACAGGAGGAATCTACAGGCCACCACACTGCACTGTCACACTTCAGTGGTTCCTCAAAACCACAACTAATCGAGTAAAAAAAAAAAAAAAAAAAAGGGACAATAATCAAGGCAAAGCATTTCCAGTGCTGTTTGCAGCAGGTAAGAAAGGTCTTTACTGCATATATAGGCCAAGGGGTTGGCCTGTATTTTACAGGAGGAATCTACAGGCCACCACACTGCACTGTCACACTTCAGTGGTTCCTCAAAACCACAACTAATCGAGTCCACCTGTGTGCAGAAACTGAAGTGGCCACTGGACAGTTACTGGCACAAACCATTCAGCCCGGCCAGGCGCACCTCTGCCTGAGCTTGCACGAACTCTGAGACTAATCACTTCTGAGCGGAACAGCAGCAGCCAGAGGAAGCCCCCCATAACCAGGAAGTTTACAAAAAGGGTATTTTGTAAAGCAGGATTACATCAGTCAGGAACGGAGACTAAAACAGAAGCACCATCACCCTTCACACCCTTTCCTCACCCAACACATGACACCCCCAACCCTCTCAATGGTCACTACCCAGAGCTCTTCGCTCCTGACGCACCCCTCCACACCTTGTGTCGTGGAAGCAGCAAAGACAGCCCCGTCCACAGGCTAGCAGAGTACAGGACCAGCGCGGAGCCGAGATGCGCTGCGAGACGGTACTGACTGACCCGAGGAATGTCGTAAGATTCTGGCTTCTCTTCCAGCCCGCTCTTCACCATGTACCATCCCAGCAGCCCCTGACAAAGCAGGAGAGTGGTTAGAGCCAGGCAGGGCAGCAGCAACTGCTGAGACTTCACCTTTTGGAGCAAAGCAAGTTCTTTCCTCCACCTTCAACCAGCTACCAGCACGGACACCCCTCCAGCTTTCATGACTCCCACTGTCTCAGCTACGCTCAATCAGAGATTATTCACAGGATAATCCCGGCAGCTACAGAGCTGGCTCACCTGGAAGCAGACCAGCCCGCCGAGCGCCAGAACGCAGCCCTTCATGGGGCGGCTGAGCCAGCCCTTCCACCAGAAGTAGGTGGCGGGCAGAATGTAGGCCAGCCCCACAGCACGGCCCCACATGCGGTGCGAATACTCCATGTACCAAATGAACTTGAACTCCGTCAGCGTCATGTCGCGATTCAGGCTGTTGAAGACAGTAAAACAAAGAGCTGCAGCACGGCAGCCCCGTGCTGTGCTTCCCACAGCAAGGGATCACCTTCCTCAGAGAAAGGAAGTGACAGCGAAGGAGAGGGGCCGTGTGTGCCTTCCCAGCGATGTCAGACCACGTTTCCATCCTCACATCCTTGGCTGGCTCAGTTGCAGCAGGGATGTTCCCAGCCCACCCTCCTTCCAGTTTTGCACACTCACATTTTAAACTCCGGGAACTGCTGGTACTTCTGGAACTCAGCTTCCCACTCCTGCTGCGTTCTCGGGGGTTTCATCTCTTTCACCAGGTGCCAGTCAACCATAGAAAGGCCCGATTCCGTCAGCCTGGGAGCAGACAGACACAGGCAGGCACCGCTCACTCCCTGGCAGTATGCAAACCCACTCAACCGAAGAGAGAGCTGTTGGCTGCACCAGACAAGCCTTAAGCTCACGGTTAGAAAGAGGAGGGAGATCAGGGAGTTTGCGAGTGATCAGACTGACCTAAAATTACCAAAAACGGGTAAGAGAAAGTTGTGCCCAGCTGGCACCACGGCACCGCGGGCAGCCTCCCTGGTATTCTCAGCCCCACCCCACGATG